AACCATAGATTTATAAATATAACATAGATGTCTGGCTATTGTCTACGGGTAGAATTTAGGATCCATCTTGACGGTAAATTCATAAACATACTGTTGTTTCTTTTTTACTTATGTCTCTTTGCTTATGCAGAAAGAGACAACACATTATTGTCATTCTGGCCATAATTTTTTGACGTCATCAGAAAAACCTAGTTGTGCCGAATTGGCCATCTTAGTCCCTGTTATCAGTGCATGTCAGTGGTACATCAGCTGTCAAAGCATTGGTCAACAATATTTTGTTACGAAAATTTGTAGAATTCCTGTTGTTTTTGTGCGTGGTAAACAAAGAAATTATTGGTTAGTGAGAAGAACTATGCCCGGGTGCAGTGTTATTGGATGTAGCACTAAAAATATTACTAAACCGGCAGGTGTAACATTACATCGGTAAGTACTGTTATTTTTCATTAAAATATCTCTGTTTTTCAAACTATTCAAGTGTGGTTGCTGCAAATTGACTAAATACAATACTTTTCTAACTAATGCAGTGCTTATTTTCATTAATTTTAGTTGAAATACGTCTAAAACAATTTTCATTAAAAAATAGTGATGTACATGATTGTTCCCGTATCGATAATTTTATCGTACATAATAAATGCGTCAAAAGTAGAACAAAGAACTATACTAAATTCTGAATGATAAAGTGCATTAATTTGACATAATGACAAAATACAAAAAACATTAAGTACTCGTCAAAAATTTCATTTTATCGACAAAATTCCACCATCGTCAATACCTACGTAATGTAATAAATAATTAATACAATAGAGAATAATTTTTGTACAATATGAGATAAGGAATAATATTGTGGGAAATGCATTTTTGTCAAAATTGATTTTTTTATCAAATGCCGCTCGACGGATTCAAATGAAACAAACAAATGAAATATAACTTTAGGGTATTCTTAGAGTATTTATTAGAATGTGTCGAACTCTGCCGATAATTTTAATAATATTATAAATTTTCTTTTTAGTTTGTGCTTGAACCACGCAGAAGTTCTTGGCTGGAAATAATTAATGTGGGAAATATAGATACTAGAAGGAAACATATCTTTGTTTGTTAACTTTATTTTGAAGATTAATGTTTTAACCGAACAATAAATTAATAGTAAATCTACGTGATGGGGCCCTATCGCTACAAGCTCTATTGGTAAATCATAATGTAAACGATTCATTATGTGTTTTGTTATATTAGTTTTGGAAGCATTTTTTGAAGAGGTGCAAACTTAACATTTTATTTAACATTTATATTAAGTTCATAACTAACCGGGTTCTTGTACCTATATGTTTCTGTTTTCCTCCGCTATCTATCACTATCATTGTAATGTACAAACATTTTCGTTCAGAGCTTAGTACAGTACCTATAGAATCTATAGAAAAATCTATGTTCAATTGGATCAAGTAAGTTAAATTATACTATTTATGTTGCAGCCTCTAGCCAGATATGTGCATGAAAATGAACTTGGAACCAGTTCTGGAGTCTTCTCGAAAGATGGTTTTGCAGATTACATTACAGGGAAACACTACGAAAAATACGAAGATATTGTATATTATAAATCTTGATTTTATGAATACTTTGATACAGTTTTATTTTTCAACCCTCAAAAATTACTTAACCTTAAGTATATAAATATTGACCAGTTGATGGAAAATCCTTTTCATGAATTTCGATACATAAGTATCGTGAAAGTTATGATGTGAATGTATAGGCACGATCGACTGGAGTGACAGTGCACGCAGCAACTACTAAATATATTTCGCTAATATGTTGGTAATGTTTAGCAGCTACATAAAAATTAAATCCAGATGAATCATAAAATAATGATATTTTATTGATAAGTCAAAACCAATTCTAAAATATCGATATTTCTACAGTTTTAAAAGTTACATCCCTAATTCTATCCGCCATTACGGGTGACCAAGTGAAGTTTATATAGGCAGTAGGCACGATTTTTTCCTAGTTGTTTCTTATCCATACTCTTATCATATCAGTGGTCCATGATGACAACATTGAGTTTTGTTGACAAAGTCTATCTGACAAGACAATGTCAATGTTCATAACTTCTATGTTGTTTTGTCATGACGTTGGTGACTGGTGATTGTTGATTAACAATAAATATAATATTACTCATTGTGTTATCATACATCAATTTTTGAAAGATTTTCTTATTGTGATTATTTAAGTAATAGATGTTTGTAATTAACAACCATGGGGATTTTCGGTAATTCTTCACCGTTTGATCAAGATGTTGGTAAGTACTCACTGTGATAAAGAATTTCATACTTATCCTTTGTTATACTACAATATTTTGTCACCGTTCATATTTCACTAAAGGGTAATTATGTAGACAAAAAGTAATAAAAGATTGTGACAAAGATATTAAAAGTTTAGTTGTCATATTTGAATATTGATAACAAGTGACTCTGCTGGTTAGTTTCTTCAACTAAAATCTATATGGTGACTCATTGGTTCATATTTAAGATCAAGAAAGTAGGAGTTAGAGTACACCCGTAAAATATTAGTTGAATTGTCATAATTATTATGATACATGCCTACATCTATTATGACATTTTATAGGTATTTTAACCCATTTATTCCCAAATATGACAAACAGGTTAATTCATAAGAGTGGGAACAAATGTTAGGATCACAATATACTATTAAATAAGTTTAATCAGACATATATGATAATTATATGGAAAATTGAACTTGTTAAATTCTCATTTTAATGTGTGTATGGTGTGGATTATTGTTGTTGTTTTCTTTCCATAATTCTCAAATCGGATTTTATTTTTAAGCCACTGTTAAACCTATGAATTGCTAATGCTATGTACGCCATTATTGTCGCATGTATCAGACCTTTATTTTGTTACTATTGTGTATTTTGAATGTTATATGTTTGTGATGTGGCCGTAATCCTTCGAATAAATAAATAAGTTACAAGCTTATGCAATCCGGGGAAACGTCTATGATCTGATAAAGAGTTATGTTAGCAATAACTAACAGTCAACACAAATCACAGGACTTGACTATTCAAATAAAAAATGAACTACCTACAAAAATAATTATTTTGGGTCCACAAGCTAGTATTGGGCCATTGTTATTTATTTAATTGCACAATCTACATACATAGAGGTATTATACTACTAGTACAGTACATCACCCAGTTAGGGTGCAGCAATTTGGACTGGACTGCACGGTTGGTGTGGTGTCTGGGCAACTGGTTGCTGTGCAACGTGTCGCGGGTTCGATTCCCGCACGGAACAACACTTTGTGTGATCCACAAATTGTTGTTTCGGGTCTGGGTGTCATGTGTATGTGAACTTGTGTGTTTATAAACGAATCCACGACACAGAAGATAATCCTAATGTAGGACAACATTTTTATACTAAAAAAAAATAACTTAATAATTATAACTAAATAATCATCTAATGTATTATGTACATATTCTATTCATTAGTAACTTAATTACTAACTATAAACTTACTATTATTAAATTTTATTATCACTTATATACATATTTCAATTACATTGTTTAACACATTATGTAATGGACATTTTAATTGGGTACTTGCCAACTAATCAAATTCAACACTTTTGTCGAACTGTCAAAAACTACAGTTTTCTATGAGTTTCGGACGAGATTGTGTGCTGTGAACTCACGTTTTTTTAACGTCAATCAGCATATTTAATTCATAAAAAAATGCTGCAAAAATACTATAATTAAGTTGGTCATAAAATCAATTAATGAATGTGTGATAATTTTTTAAAATTATATTGTATTAAACAGTCGAAAGCATTTATTTTTGATGAAGGCAAGTAACCAATTATAAACAATACAAGTAGTTGAAAGTTGGAACATAATTCAAATTGAAGTAAACTGAAATTATCACATTTACTTGGGAATTATAACTAATACCTCAAATATATAAGGTAAAAAAAATATAACAAAACTGGGTAAATAATCAAAGTGAAATAAAAAACCCCTTACCAAATAAAAGAGAATAAAAAAAAAATCAAAGTGAAAACACAACCCTATCACCACATTCACCTGCCTGAGCTTTATAAAATATATAAGTAGGTAATTTAGGCTTAAAACATTATTAAAATCATTGTGAATTTATAAACTACATTTAGTAAACTATAAATTTAATCATCGGATGGAGGTACAATTTCATTGTAAATGAATTTTTATCTTCAAGGTACTCCTAAATACTATAATATGTCGCGGAGAACCTAATGGGTTACCCGGACTCCGGCTCGACATACAGAAAATTGATATAGTTTTATATCAGTAATGTCTGCCAATTTAAGTGGCAGTCTAGTGTTATACCCAATACTCCCAATACTTTAAATTCTTCAACGTTGATTTAAGAGTATTAGTTAGTAAGGTAAATTTTTGTTATTGGTATGGTTCGAAATGCATGATTTTTGTTTTTTTTTTTATTATTAACTTAAAGGTTGTGATTCAAGAGCCAAGATTTATTATATAGGTACGTAAATGATTTAACCGGAGTAATGCCTAATAATACTGTTTTATTTGCTGATGATAGTACAATATGATTTACTGGAAGAGATAAAGGCCAAATGGGAATGGAGATAAATAATATTGCTAAATGGCTTGTTTAAAAATTAATTTGCCTAAGCAAAACAAAACTGATCACGTTTAGAAATAGGGTTGATACATTAAAGGGAATGGACATACCTTACCTCGACACAAAATTAAAAAAGTAAATGTCCCAAGGAGTAAACATTGATTCTCAGATAAATTGAAAACCACTATCCATAAAACTAAATCAATATTATATGCAATCTACATGTTATCAAAAACTGTTAATACACCCACACTTCTGACAGCTTACAGCGTCTTTCTCACGTTTTTAGTAGCATGGGGTCTGGATTTGTGTCCGGTATTTGGTAATAGGCTGACCCCCTATTACATGGGACTTGTTAATAAATCCTACTAACATTTGTTCCCGCTCATATGGATTGAAATACGTATAAATACTAGTTCTGTACAAAATTATTCAAAACCTTAATAGATACCTACCTAATTTACAATTTTGTGGACATTAAGTTATATCATTATGATATGAGCTTATGGCACCGAGGGACTAACCTATCCGTGGGTGGGTAACCTATCAGTACTAATAATAATTATGTGTTGCTTTTATTTTTTACTTTTTGTTTGTTATTAGTTTTAGATTTTTGAAGTCGGTTTTTTGAACGCAGTATTTATTTTATTATTTTATCATTTTTGCTACATAATCGTTTTGCCTCTTAAAATCTACATAGGTGCAAAGTTCTAATCAATACAAATTATACAAAGTAGTTTACACAACATATTTTTATATTTACTATTGTTTGTTAGTTGGGTTGCCAGCGTTATGTAAAATTATGTTTTAAATATTATTAACTCGTCGAGTACCGTCATTATAGACACAATTATAGAACAATAGGTTGCGGTCACCGGTGACCGCTTGGTGTTTGACAGTTTAATTCAAAAATGACTACAGTACAAGATAGTTCGATTGTTACATTCGTTATATAGGTACTCTCCAAATAAAATGCAAAAACCATCAGTAACTAACTTTCGTAAAAACCATTTAACCTCTTATGTGTCGATATGAGAAAACGCATTGTCTCGCGTAGACCTCCGCTCCGACATGCCAGAGGTTAAGATATGCCGATGTTCTACCATTTTCTGTAGTGCGACTTGTAGATAGCTGCTGCCAGAACCCGCAGACGCATCCGCCGACGTGTAGAGCTAGAGCCGCCATGATCGCAGCGACGCGACGGCCGAAACCAAATTACAGATTTCGTATAGTAATACCTATTCGTACATCGCATTTCAGAACGAGCTACGAGCGAAAACAATACGAGCGAGGAATGGGGACTGATCATGGAGATCTGTGACCGCGCCGGCGCCTCCGCACAGAGCGCCAAGGAGTGTCTGCGCGCCGTCATGAGACGTCTGGCGCACCCCGACCCTCACGTACAGGTACACGCCGCCACGCTGCTCGACGCCTGCGTCGCCAACTGCGGCCGCGCCTTCCATCTAGAGGTGGCCTCGCGCGACTTCGAGACCGAGTACCGCCGCCTCCTGGCGCGCGCCCAGCCCGCCGTCGCACAGCGCATGCGCGCGCTGCTGCGCAAGTGGGCCGAGGGAGAGTTCCGCGACGACCCACAGCTTGACCTCATCCCCTCGCTGCACTCCAAGCTGCGC